GGGGGAGGGCAAGCCGATGATCAAGTTAGTGCTTCTATCCTCTCAGACAAGGCTGGTACCAATTTGTCGACCCTGGAGCGAAGAGGGGCTTGGTTGGCTTGGACGACGTACGACCCGGGATTTGATCCTCGGACTGCGCGCTTGGTGACCAGCGCCTCTTGCCACTACTTTCGCCAACACTTAGCACTGCTTAATTATAATTGCTCCCTCTGAAATTTGATGCCAAATTGTATTTGCAATCTCGTCTGTGGTGACATCATACGGAGTTAGACGAGTTTAGTGGGGGAATGCTTACTTTTAAGAATATCACTTCAAGTGACCACCTCTACTTTTGGCTCATGTATAAATTGCTTAATTTTGTTCTCCTTTTGTTCGTGTGCTTGATTATTGCGGAGTTTGGCACTTCAGTCAAAAGAACAGAAGTGTTATTGCATTTTTTCAGTTGATGAGCAAAGAACTTACGCCGGAACAGCGGCATGAGCGAACCCTCATGATTAAGCAATGTGAAGCTGAGTTGCGATTAGAAGAAGCAAAATTGATGATGCTCAAGAAAGTGAAGGCCAGTCAAATGTTGGCCAATCAGAAGGTTCGTATCGTTTTCTCATGCCATGTCGTTGCTATTCTTCCACGGTTAGCAAAATCGAGCCATTTTCTGGGCTTCGTCCCGAGTGTTCCCAGGAGGTTCTTCTAGAATATTTTTACTATGTCTCAGAAAATGACAGTGGCAATTCCTTTATGCCTTTGATACTTTTAGTGCCCACTGCGTTTCTATTTTTTGTTCCACCTTGCAGCTGTTTGTAAAATAATTGACTTCAACATTGCAACTCACAACTGTAGGCCCACTTTGAATTAGCGGACGCCTTTTGTACGTCGTCTGGGACAACTTTTTAGGAATTCTTAACAGTTTCTAATGATTTGGATCCATAAAAGGAGATGCTGCTTGTATGCTCCTGCCACAGCGAAAGAACTGGTATGTTACCTGTAAGCGGTCACCCACTTCCAATCGTCACATTTTCTGAGAATCGCTTGTGGCGTACGCGCTCTGTAAACCTGAATTGTGATTATTATTGCACTATTCACTACATCTACATTCCAAATATAACCGTAAGAGTTGTTGAGAACGGCCACCTACGTTTCATTCGAACG